GGCGGAGCATCTTATTTTTATTGTCCAAGCCCTAAGCGGCACCGCCGCCTCCATCGCTTCCAACGCCACCAATCTCAGCCTGCCGATTTACGCCATATCCGTCTATATTGCCACAGACAATTCATGGCACCGGCTCACCTCGCCAGAGCCGATTCCGTTGTTCTCTCATTGCGTTGCCGTCGAAAGGAAGCTGATCCTTGTCGGCGGATGGGATCCCGTGAGGCTCGATCCGATTCCAGATGTGTGGATTGTAGATCTCGTCACCGGGGAGTGGAGAAAGGGCAGAGCAATGTCAATCGCACGATCTTTCTTCGCTTGTGCGGCGGTTGGCGGGAGGGTTTACGTCGCCGGAGGGCACGACAAGATGAGGAACCCACTGCGGACGGCGGAGATTTACGACGTGGAGGCGGATGAGTGGGTGGCATTGCCGGCAATGGCGGAGGAAAGAGACGAGAGTCAAGGAGTGGCAATCGGGAGCATATTCTGGGTGATAAGTGGATATGGAGCACAAACCATGGGGCAGTTTACTGATTCAGCGGAGTGGTACGATCCGGAGAAGGGGGTTTGGCTGACTGAGGAAGGGTTGTGCTCGGAAGAAAATGGCTCGTCAGCCTGCTTTGCCGGAGGCGACGTGTTGTGGTGTGTGGGGAGGATAGGGGCAAGGAAATATAGGGGAGGGAGTGGGTGGAACGAGATCGCTCAGGCAGCAGAGGGGATGAAGGAGACTTCATGCATGGCAACGATGGGAGACAGCAAGATTTTCGTGATGGGAGCCGTCAGAAATGGTGGAGGCACTGCCGATGGCAGAGGGAATTATGGAGCTTGGATTTTGGACATTGGAGCAGGGAAGTGGATAAAGGTTGAGACGCCGGCGAATTTCTCAGGGTACGCGTACACTGCTGCCGCTGTCTTTATTTGAGTCTGCTTTTATGTACTAGTATAAATGCACGTGCATCATGTACACGTGAATAAAATTTTAGAAATAAAAGATATCTATCATAAGAAAAAAAAATTATGATATGTTTTATCCAAGATATACCATTTTATATCGATATGAAATATATAATTTTTCTAAATATAGATGATTTATACTTATATTATATTTGTATTAAGATAAATTATTGAAATAAAATTATATATATATATAATGAAGCCGAAGAAGAGTAGTTTAATAGCTTTTAAAATTGATTAAAGTTTCATATTCCCATGAAAAAAAAAAATAAAATAACTAAACAAATATATGGTAATGAAAGTCATATCCATCGCTTCCCTGCTCATTTCAAGAAGACAATAAATTTGATTTGAATAAAGATATGGTGAATATATTCCAATTAGTCATCCCAAGCCAAATTCAAAACGTAAATGAAAAAAAATAAACCAACCATTTTTTTAGTGAGAAAAAGAAAAAAAAAACACATAAGCATAACAAATATAATTAACCAATACATGAAAACCAATTACAAAATTCAAATAGATCATAGAATAATGACAAGCTCAATCTTCAAAAGCGGAAAAAAAGAATCAGAAGGAAAGTAGTTTGGCCTACCATAATTGCCAGAATTCTTTGCCAAGAAGACTTCTTTGCCCCCAACCAACCATGATGTGCCTATATTTAAAACTGCACCCGAGCATCGATGCAACAGCCCTTGCACACTTCTGATCACTGTACTCAATCTATACAGCGTGTCGCTTCCATAAAACTCCCTAGAAACTATCATGCTAAAATTTTTTCAACTTTTAAAGCTCACTCTTTACTTTATCTAGATTGATAAGATTTACTATATCCTATTTAGTTAAATTTAACTTGCAAATAAATATTGAGCCCTTTATGAATTATAAGATTTATAAGAATAAAGGAAAAAACATAAGACATTATCTATAAATTTGGCTCTTATAAATTAGATTTGACTATTTAAACATTGGTTATTGACTATTTTTACTATTATAAAATGAAGAATAAATGACATGAAATTATACTAATTTGCTAGAGAAAAAATAAATTTGATTCAACTTACTTCAGAATGAAGAGGAGATGTATATCGTAATGCAGCATATGTATATATTGGAAATAAGATTTTTCTGCAAAACATTTTTGAAACTTATTTTAAGAAACAATATAGAACAATATATATATATATATATATGACATCAAGAGTAGGAAACTAAGTATATTTTATGGAGAATGATTACATTTTATGGGATCAACAATTAAATGCCTTTAAGGGTATTTAATTAATTGGTCTTAATTAAATGCAATTAAGGGTATTTAGAAGGGTATGATATTTCGGCTTCAGCTGGAGTTTATTTTAGGAAGGATTTCATTTGGAAGAGCATGATAAAATTATTAACGGCAAATTGAATGACTTTATTTAAGCTTATTATAGGTGATGTGAACTGGCTTTAAAAACACGGTAGTGAAATAATAAATGAGTGAATAAATGTTTTGGATGAAGTGAAAAATAAAAGAATCTGAAGAGTTTTAAATGAATGTTGTAGATTAATTTAAACTTTATAAATAAACGATCATGATTTGCTATGAGTGGAATCTCAAGCCACTTTTATATAGTAGTATAGATTGGTAATCAATATTATATCTTAATTAATTAAGATAATGATGCCTCATTAGCATACTAAAGTCATCCTGCTGATTCCTGATTGTTATGGAGCTGCCGAGGACTATGCATTGTATAGTTTTTATATTAAAAAGTTATAGTTTGTGTGTATTTTCTTTTCAAGTGGCTTTTTTTCTTATAAATGGGTTCATATATATCTAAACTACTATATAAAAGTGGCTTGGGATTCCACTCATAGCAAATCCTAATCGTTCATTTATAAACTTTAAATTAATCTACATCGTTCATTTAAAATAGATAGAATTTCACATCATTCCAAAACATTTATTCACTCGTTTATTATCTCACTACCATGCTTTTAAAGCCCATTCACATCACATATTTTTTTTTTTTTGGGGATAAATCGGGGCATAGCCCTTTTATTAATAAAAACAAAGGTTACAATAATCCAGAAATAAGAAAAAGCGAGTCAAACAACGAAACCAATACAGACTAGGGAACAAGCAGTGAACCAAAAAACTAGTAAGACTATAAAGACTAATACAAAGACCTAAAGACACACCTGAACGAAAACAACAGCCGGATAAAAATTCCAGCTAGACATAGCAGACAGTCCAAGACCGAAGTGTAGGAACCCAATCAGAATTGGAATTTCTCAATTAGGTGATTGTAGTTATTCCAGCTACACGTCTTAACTTTAATAGCTTTTTTTATTGTGCTAATAATAGTATCCGGCGAACTCCAAGAGTTAGCAAATAGCCGATTATTCCTTTCTCTCCAAACATGATAGACGGTGCAACAAATAATGAGGCAGCTGAAATCTTTCTCCCTTTTGTTAAAGTGCCGCGTATTATCCATAAATTCTAAAACCTGAATCAAAATGGGTCTAAATAAGAAAGTTTTAAATTCAGGAATTAGATTAGAAATAACGTGAAAAGTAAAGTCACAATAAAAGAAAAGATGGTTGTGATCTTCCTTGGCTTTATTGCAAAAACAGCAGTCAGGAGGGAATTGGATTGATTTCTTGATCAAAAGATCCGCTACTTTTAATTTCTGCAAAATAGCCATCCAAGTAAAAATAGAGTATCTCAAAGAATAATATTTGTGCCACACATAATTATGCCAAGAAACCTCCTCCAAGTGGTCATAGTAAGAAGTACTAAAATTCTTAAATTTAGGATTAAAGGAGCCGTCCCAAGCCAAAGCCGGTTGCTCTTTAATCTCCACAGAGTAAATAACATGCCCAATATAATCTGGAAATGAATCCGGCAATCTCCACTGAGAATTACTAATACAGTCTTGAATGTGTAATTCAGAGAACTGCTTAGCCACCGGAAAACAATCAGCAAGAGACTTCCCATTAAACCATGGATCCCAGTATAAAGAGAAGTTAGCCGTAGGGGTAATCTGAAAATTAGGATGCATCTTGATTTTCTGAGCTGTATTACAGATATATTTCCAGAATTTAGTGGCTTTAGCATTTGGAGGTTTCCATGGAGAAGTGTATTTATTCTTAAACCAGGAAGTAATCAAAGAGTTCTTAGTCAGCAAGTTCCAAATAAAAGAACAGTAATAACTATAATAAAGAGAATCAATAGAGGCTATCCCTAAGCCACCTTTCTTCTTAGGAATGGCAGTTTTATCCCATGCAATCATATGAATTTTTTTACCATTAATACTCCCATGAAAAAGGAACTTAGAACACATTTTAGAAATAGATTTACAAATGCCTTTTGGAATAATAGAACCTTTTATCCAGTAGGCAAGAGTATTAGAAATTGTAAACTTCAAGAATTGAACTCTACCCGCCAGAGATAAAAGTTTCACCTTCCAGCCATCAAGCAGAGAAGTAATAATACCTAAAAGTTGCTGAAAATGATTAGCTTTAAGTCTTTCAGCCGAAATTGGAATCCCAAGATATGTAAGAAAACTATTCCTCTGAGATATCCCCATAATACTACAAAAATGCTCAGCATCCATAGAATGATTAGAAAAAATAATAGAACTTTTAGAGGAGTTAATACTAAGACCTGAAGCATCCGAAAATTCAGAAAGAATTTTATTAAGACTTCTGGCATAATGAGCCCTAGAAGACCCAAAAACCAGTAAATCATCAGCAAACATGAGATGATTAAAATTATTCCCATTAAAATTAAAACCAGCTTTATTGTAACCCAGAGAAATCGAAGATAAGCTGCACGATAAAGCATCCATAACTAAACAGAAGAGAAGAGGCGATAAAGGACAACCTTGTCTAAGACCAGAAGAAGAATTAAAAAACCCTTCCAAAGATCCATTCAAGCAAATTGAAAAATGAACATTGGAAATACAACTTTTGACCCATTTAATAAAAATATCGGGAAAACCTTTTTGCCTCATTCTATTTAATAAAAAACTACGGGAAACAGAATCAAAAGCTTTCCTAATATCTAGTTTAGCACAAAAAATATTATTGGTAAAGTTAAATTCTCTAAGAACTTCAGAGGCAAGCAAAATGTTATCAGTAGAGTTTCTGTTCTGAATGAACCCAGCCTGGCTCTCGTGAATAATAAAAGGTAAAATAGGTTTCATACGGTTAGCAAGAAGTTTGGCAATAATTTTGTAGAACACATTACATAGAGAAATCGGCCTGAAATCATTAATGTTGTTAGCATGCTGTTTTTTGGGAATAAGAATAATGGCAGAAGCTTTAACCCCTTTGGGGAGATGACAAGTGTAAAAAAAACTATTGATGGCCTTACATAAATAATGCCCAATAATATGCCAAGATTTTTTATAGAAATCAAAAGTGTAACCATCAGGACCCGGTGCAGAGCTAGAGGAGCCATTAAAAACCACATCACATATTATAAGCTTAAAAAAAAAAACTGAAGTTCTTTTAAAGCCATTCCATTTGACGTTAATAGTTTTGTCATTATCTTCCAAATGAACTCTTGCTGAAGCCGAAATGTCAATCTTCCAAATACCCCCAAACGAGTCGCCAATCGCCAGAAAACCCTAACCCTAGCAGAGCTCCGACGTTCCCGTATCATTTTATCCTTAATTGTATTTAATGTATTACGTTTAAAGTCATATTGCATTTAATGCTTAAAAATTGCATTACGTTTACATTAAAAAACCCTTCATCAAATGATATATTTATACTATCTATACTATTTACATCTATAATTCGTAACATTTAGAATTCTTATTAAATGGCTCTTAAATTTATTCGCAGCAGCATCAAATATCATTAATTAATAAATTTAAAGTAATTAATCTACAACATTCATTTTATACACTTCATATCTATTAATTTTCAGTTCCAATCTATATCTATATCTATACGATTATTATTATAAAAGGT